ATGTTTAAGTGCCATTTTAAAAGTATTAACTATATTTTCATTGTTATTGCGATAATATCGCATATAACAATTATTTTGGCCAAGGTAATTGTGACATGAAATTTTCCTATCATACCATGCCTAGTGCCTTGCTTTAGCACACAACATTGGTAGTTGTTAAGGGTTTGAACTGCATTACTTGTACAAAAGCACTCCCAAGGCTGTGAACTACAAGCGTAAAGTCAACTATCAGTCAGTTTTAAAGATTAAAATGTCCAATGACAAATGAAACTGAAGGCCACTTCACTAAAATAGTTTTTATGTAGTTTTATTTTCTATACTGTATGAATCAGTAAAGTGCATCAGGTGCAGCTATTTTACATGCAGTGATAACAGTGTGGTTCATGCATAACAGCATGCACTAAACTCAAAATAATAATTATACTTTATGCTCATTATTGATACACTTTACTGATTCATAACATCCATCAGCAAATTTTTATGCAAGTGGCTTCCTGTTCGTTTGTGACTAGAGGTCTGTGGTCACAAGCTTTAAACTGATGTTCTAAAGTGAGGCACATAATCCCCAAATATAACTGCCTACTGCACAGCAAGGCTCCATGGACTGTTGTTCATTAGATAAAGTAACTGAATATGCATTTATTTATATCAAAATCGTTTTTGAAAAAAAGTGAGAATAAAAGCTGTTCCTGACAGCCCCTTTGTAGATGAAGCGTGTAGCAGGAACAAGACTAATAAGCTGCTCTGCTATTATTCTAATGAGTAAATACATACTTGAAATGTGTTGAGCGGAATGTAAATATGATAATCTATGCCAAATAATGAAATCCCCGATTTGATCTGACCATTCAAATACAACCAAGCAAATCCTCCAGAGACTGCTTCAAAATCCACTGCTGTGGAAACTAGAATACTGCTGAGCATCTGCATAATTTGTGTGCTCTCTCCACTTTTAGTGTGCTCATGCACGCGCACACTCAGCCAATCACCCACTCTCCTTCCAAAGACACTCTTTGATCAGAAAGTGCCTCCAGTTGTCTGTGCAGAGCATTGTCACTTCTGGTAATAATCAGGGAGTGATTTGCATACGTTTTGTCTTCCATATACAGGACCTTTAATTTCAGAAGTGCGCTTTGCATACAGAATATATTTCTCAACTACTGTTACTGAAGGTCAAATTTGGCCCAGGGTTTTCAGAATTAATAGACCCCCCCCGTTAGGAACCCTTTTTGCTCTGTGCTCCAGTAACAGTTGAGCGAGCCTTGGTCATATGCTATGTGCTAGGCTACATTGAAAAGATAAAAGAGATATATCGTCACATAAGTTATTTAGCTAATGTTAGCAAAACACTAGCCAGCTAGCTAGCCAGTCTAAATCAATTTCTCGCTAGCATTTTACTACAGAGAAAAACGTATCTACATCATCGACATATAAAAGATGGAT